TGAGTATACAGCATTTTTGCATACGGTACAGCATACACAAAACCCAGTAATAGGTTTTGAGCATTTAATAAGCTTTAAGCCTAACTTACATCTTTAAGTATTCAATAAACATTCACACATGAAATAACACATTCTATGAAACTCATCAGGACATTGATGAACAGTGAGCAGAAGGAGAACCCATCTGTGTAAGAACTTTATCAAGCCATTGAAGGGGGCCATTGAGGTGAAGCTCAATCCAACATGGTGTACTTGTTACAGTTTGTCTGCGATACTCAGCACCCCAGCCTTTTACAAACGACATTCTGATGGTACACATACGAGTTAATGCATACACTGCCTCAAAACCTTGATTGACAGACTGTGACAATAACTGAGCAAATTCTTGATTATTAAAGATCTTTAGGTTGCATCCCGGTGGAATCTTACACACAGTGGCTGGGTGCCAGCCATACCGTTGATTACAGTTGGGGCTCTGTACAAATATACTACTGTCACTTAAACACTCAGCAAACACTTCACCACCAATGTAATAGAGGCGGACTCCCTTCCCAATGTGTTTACGTGTCATCTCTATTTGAGGGTTGCGGTTAATATTAGACAACAATCCCAAACAGAATCTGTCACAACTAGAGGGATCAGTAAAGCCATCAACAGTAAGACTTGGTCGAGCTGCATGAAAAATTTCTCCAACTCTTGTGTTCATCTCATAATATGAAATCTGGCACCAGTATGCTGGTTCAGTGTACTGGACAGGCTGTGCATCTGGAAGACAACAGAACAATGATTAGAACATAGCTTCACAAAATACACTTGATTCATTTGCCTGTGGGTTGCAAGCTAACTTCAGATTGTTTTCCTTTTTTTCCTTCAGGAAACAAAAGATGTTTGACAGTATCAATGTTATAAAAGAAATGGTTAACATGCAGCATGCAACCATTGAGTTATGAAAGCACTTAAGAAGCTAGAGTCACTCCCTGCTACCACCTTGTGCTGCTCTTACTCTTCTCTTGTGCTTAGCTGCCTCCCAAGTACATCCATAACTCACTGCACACTAACCATTTCCTCATTACAATTAAGCCTCTTGTTGCACACATGTTTATATATGTATTTTTCATATAATGAATAATGAAACAAGTAAAAAAGGGTTTACGTTAAAGCTTAGCAGTAGCCATCACATGGTGAAAGGTAACAAATAAAATACTTGTTTTTACCTGCAAGGGATGGATCTGGAGATAGAGGACCTGGATCTGCAAGGAAACCAGAAAAATAGTTGCCACTGAACTCTGACTGTAAAGAATGTTTGGGAGGCTGACTTGTGAATTTCAATTTAGAATGTGGTTTACAGGCTACATTTTTTGTACACCAGTCAGAGGGGAAAACTAATGAAAAGAGAATGGGTTTGCAGATTGTTTAAGTTATTCACTTAATTTACTGAAACTACCCAAAGGATTTTCCTTGTTCATACCAAAAGCAAATCAAAATAGTGTAAAATGGCTCCTTTATCATGACATGAATTAAGCTGCAAAAAAACTACTTGGGGTCTTACCTGTCTGCATGCTCTGTGGTTGATCTCCTGACACTGAGCACTGATCCTCTGACATATAACCTGGAGTATCTGCACAGGCAACAGAAACAATACAAGTTAATCACCATGACATCAGACCATCTTTTTGCATGATACAAGTCCTTGACAGCATGATTTACCCAAAACACAACAAATTTGTGAATTTCATGTTCAGACAATAGAAAACATCTCAGAGAAAGTGACAGGAGCCTGTGGTTTGCCTAACTAACAACATTCTTTCCTGGTGTTGTTACTCAGTTTGTTTGTCGTGTTTGTTTTGACATTTGTGACGTGTGGACATCATGCACGTATGCAATTCCCTCAAAACATTTCACCCTTTATGTTATAAACAAGTAATCACAAGTTCCTTTGTGCAATAAAGGATTAATTTCACTTCTATTTCTAAAGTTTTCCCAAACTTAACAAGGAAAACTTTGAAAATAGAAGTGAAATTAATCCTTATTAGCCCCCAGGCCCATGTGATTACTTTTGCAAAACATGACTGAAACAATACCATTTCCCTGTAAATTGACATTTTATTTGCTGTGATTGTTAGGGGTACTCCTAAATAATTGGCTAGCAGTTCATAGTGTGAGCCAAGTGTCAATATAAATCTTATGAGAGGGTGTGACATGCTTCTCAACCTTCAAAAGACCAAACCTTCCACTATGATTTTGACAAAATACCATCTCTTTTAATACCAGTAATGGTAAGAGGATTCAGTGGAATCCAATTTGTTTTATAATTGTACAAGTGATCAACAAAATCAGACAAATGTAAAACAGGAGTGCAATCTGTTAATTTCAAGTATAATAATAGATTGCTTTGGACACCTCAAAGTCCTGTTACCAGTTAATCAAACAATGACAAAATTTGAGAAATCATCTAGTATTGGTTATACTTATCAGGCAAAGTAACAGTAAAATCATGAAAACAGGATGCAAATAACACAAACTGTCCAATGACACAGGCAAGACGTGTAAACTGTCCTATTATAATGTCCAATTACAAGCAAGGAAGACACCATCAAGGGTTTGGAGAAACCTTAACCCTTTGACTCCATGGAGTGACTAGCATTTAATTTCTCCTCACAATATCACCCCTGAATAACACATTACTGTCATGAGAATAAAGGAAATGATCACCAACTAAAGAAACTCTTAATTGTTTGACAAATCAGTACACAGCACATTAGTAAATGTACAGAGAACAGTATGCAGAATATGAATACTGATATTAATGTGTAACTAAATGACCTGAAAAAAAATTATTTTGCCCTCCATTTTGAGTCTCAATTCATTTTTTAGCCCTTTAACCCCTTAGAGTAACCAGCTTCTAACTTCTCCCTACAATATCAGCCCAGAAGCAAACATTACAGTTATGAGAATTGAGGAAATGATCACCACCTGATAAAGCTCTTGATTTTTAAACAAATTCTCATTGTCAGCACTTCAAGAAATGTATAGAAGCAGTATAGAGAATATGCATTAGGGTGTAAAGGGTTAAGAAATAAAAAAGCAAGCCAAATGGTTCACAGCCAGGACTCCTTCTACATGCCCATCTCAGTGGTTATTTGTATTCTTTGGTACGATACTTCATTTTTGTACTGCCTCTTTCCACACATTGTGGGAAATTAAAGGTTTGTTTTTCCTTTTTCTTTCTTAAGGTCAATGTGTGTTCCTAGCTGGAGCAGTAGCTACAGTTTTGTATACTCTTTGTCTGTTCATTCTCATAGAGAAGAGATTAAACCCAAGCAACCTAAACATCAGGATAATGATGTTATGCCAGTGCTCCCATGTTTTTCACTCACCATGGTGAGTGAAAAACACATTTGACGACTAGAATTTCAACAAAAGTTGCAAATTGGCAACCAACAGATTAAAAAAAAAAAAAAAAAAAAAAAAAA